GTATGTCCTCTTTGGAGAAGTGTCTATTTAAGTCCTTTGCCCATTTCTTAATTGGGTTGTTTGTCTTTCTCTTGCTGAGTGCTATGAGTTCTTTGTACACTTTGGAAATTAGCCCCTTATCAGATACATCCTTGGCAAATATGTTTACCCAGACCGTGTGGTTCCTTTGTATTTTGAGGCTGTTTTCTTGTGCTGTGCAGAAGCTTTTTAGTTTGATGTAGTAGCATATGTTTATTTTTTCTTTGGTTTCTCTTGCCCTAGGAGATGCATCAGTGAAAATTACACTATGTGGGATGTCTGTGAGTTTACTGCCTATGTTTTCTTCCAGGATTTTTTTTTTTTAAATATATCTTTATTGATTTCAGAGAGAGGAAAGGAGAGGGAGAGAGAGAAATAGAAACATCAATGATGAGAGTCATTGATCAAGCCCACAACCTGGGCATGTGCCCTGACCGGGAATCAAATCCCGATCGCCTGGATCCCAGGTGGACGCTCAACCACTGAGCCACTCCAGGCCGGGCTCTTCCAGGATTTTTATGGTTTCATGACTTACGTTTAAGTCTTTTATCCATTTTGAGTTTATTTTTGTGTATGGTGAAATTTGGTGATCTAGTTTCAATTTTTTGCATGTAGTTGTCCAATTTTCCCAGCACCACTTATTGAAGAGACTGTCTTTACTCCATTGCATGCTCTTGCCTCCTTTGTCGAATATTTACTGACCATAATGGCGTGGGTCTATTTCTGGGGTCTCTGTTCTGTTCCATTGATCTATATGCCTGTTGTTGTACCAATACCAGGCCATTTTCATTACAATGGCTTTGTAGCACAGTTTGATGTCCCGAAAAGTGATCCATCCCACTCTGTTCTTTTTTCTCAAGATGGCTGCAGCTATTTGGGGTCTTTTTTGGTTCCACGTCTGTGAAATATGCTGTGGGTATTCTAATGGGAATTGCATTGAATTTATAAATTGCTTTGGGTAGTATGGACATTTTAATGATATTAATTCTTCCAATCCATGAGCATGGTGTATTCTTCCACTTGTTTACATCTTCCTCTATTTCTTTTTTTAGTGTCCCATAGTTTTCCAAGTACAGGTCTTTTACATCCTTGGTTAAGTTTATACCTAGGTATCTTATTTTTTTAGTTGCAATGATAAATGGTACTTTTTTTTAGTTTCTCTCTCTGAAAGTTCATTGTTGGTGTATAAGAATGCCATTGATTTCCAGATGTTGATTTTGTATCCAGCTACTTGCCAAATTTGTTTATCAAATCTAGTAGTACTTTGATGCACTATTTAGGGTTTTCTATGTACAATATCATGTCATCTGCAAATAATGACAGTATTACTTCCTCCTTTCCAGCTTGGATACCTTTTGTGTTTTCTTCCTGTCTGATGGCTGTGGCTAGGACTTCCAGTATTATGTTGAATAAGAGTGGTGAAAGTGGACATCCCTGTCTTGTTCCTGTTTTTAAGGGAANGACTTCCAGTACTATGTTGAATAAGAGTGGTGAAAGTGGACATCCCTGTCTTGTTCCTGTTTTTAAGGGAAATGGTTTTAGTTTTTCACCATTGCGTATGATGTTGGCTATAGGTTTGTCATATATGGCCTTTATTATGTTGAGGTATGATCCCTCTATTCCCACTTTGCTGAGAGTTTTTATCAGAAATGGGTGCTGGATTTTGTCTAATGCTTTTCCTGCGTCTATTGATATGATCATATGATTTTTGTCCTTCATTTTGTTTATGTGATGTATCACATTCATTGATTTGCGGATGTTGTACCAGCCTTGCATCCCCGGAATAAATCCCACTTGGTCATGATGTATGATCTTTTTAATGTATTGCTGGACCCGGTTTGCTAGTATTTTAGTGAGGATTTTAGCATTTTTGTCCATCGGGGATATTGGCCTGTAATTTTCTTTCTTTGTAGTGTCTTTCTCTGTTTTGGGCATTAGGATGATGCTAGCCTCATAAAAAGAGTTTGGGAGTTTTCCCTCCTCTTGAATTTTCTGGAATAGTTTGAATAGAATAGGTGTTAATTCTTCTTTGAATGTTTGGTA